TTTTTTAAAAAAAAATAAAAAAAACCCCCCCCCCCCCCCGTTAAGATTTCCCAAGATTTTGCCTGATTTTCAAAATTATTCCCCAGATCCCAAGGGGGGTCGTGAATTCCCAAGATCTTGGGAAATTTCCCAAGGTGTGGTAGCCCTGTAAGACACCGCCTGGAATTTCGGAGCCATTATATAGGGTAGCGGCAGATCGAGGACATGGTTTCGGTTTAGGTTTCAGTTTCAGTTTTGGTTTAGGTTTCAGTTTCACCAAGGTGGAGCATGTCCGAAGTAAATGTTTAACTTAATATACACCGCTTTAATCCACGAAAAGCTAACGATGGCTACATCTTTCGGCCTGTGTTAGACCACACACTGCAGGATTATTAATACGTGAATCTTCAACAAACAAAAAATCCACGCGACTCTAACCAGCATTATTTACATTTAAAAATAAAACTACAGTCCACGATAATTAACTTTATTTTACAATCTTTAACACGATAAAGTTGTAGATCAGCATTCTTTATCTAAAAGACCACAAAACCAGAGATATGACAATGAGGACGGCAATAAATCATTTAGTGTCCTTACAATTGTCATCAAATACAGAGAGTTCAAATCTGACATATGGATCAAATGAAGAAAGTTTGATGAACACAGGCGAATATTGCTCAAATCTGACATATGGGTTAAATACAGAAAGTTTGATGGACACAGGCGAATAATAATACCATAATTGAAACGGGCGCCCAATGGAGCCAATCAGCGAATATGGAGAGCGTCATCGACATACATAGGCTATATCACATCTTCATACACATCTTGCAATCCAACTCACGCTTTATACATCCCACATTTGTTATCAAATGTAGAGAGTGTGGTGCAAGCAGACGAACATGTAGACACCGATCAAATACAGAGAGTTTGATTGTACCATGAAATTCTTGTGCATGTAACGACCAATGCTGATCAAAAAGTGAACATTTATAATGTGGGGACAACAGAAGGGCCCCTAAGAAACCTTATTTACCACGTACAATGACAAAGGACCTTATTTACCACGTACAATGACAAAGGACCTTATTTACCACGTACAATGACAAAGGACCTTATTTACCACGTACAATGACAAAGGACCTTATTTACCACGTACAATGACAAAGGACCTTATTTACCACGTACAATGACAAAGGACCTTATTTACCACGTACAATGACAAAGGACCTTATTTACCACGTACAATGACAAAGGACCTTATTTACCACGTACAATGACAAAGGACCTTATTTACCACGTACAATGACAAAGGACCTTATTTACCACGTACAATGACAAAGGACCTTATTTACCACGTACAATGACAAAGGACCTTATTTACCACGTACAATGACAAAGGAGGTGGGCGAAAAGAAAAATTAATAAAACTGTATTCAATAAAATAATATAGTTGTTCATTTATTTCAACATGTGTCTTTACTTATCCTCGTCTCGTCTGTGTGTAAGTTGGCAAATACGACAATATGAGGTACCGGTATCTTGAATTTCTTAATATTACTTCCATACTTTGGCGATAACATTATCCGGGTAGCAGTGAACGACCCATCGACCAACTCATTTGCTAAAAGTAGTATTTTTTTAAATAGATTCAATATTGATTCGTCCCCCTTCCCCCTGATTTTTAGCACTGCAAATAAGATGTGTGTAGTGTGCATAGGATTTTGGTAATGTTATATATGTCAAACTTAAGTCCTGCACACAACAGTGCCTGGGGGACAGTGAATGAACCACGTTAAAGAAATGATGACCACGGATCTACTAAAACCCAGTTATATTAATGTTTCCAAAGTAATATTATGTCCATGGTAGTATTATGTCCTTCTGTTTGTTAGAGAAAGGAACGTTCGATCCTAAGTCAATTTGTGCACGTTGGTAGGAGAGAAGTGCTACGACACATAATGGCTGTCTGTGTGTGCTTAATTTTGAAAGGTTAAGCTACCTTAAAAATGTCTTACGTTAGAACTTAATTAGTTCAAACATTTATAGATTTTTTTTTTTAAATCCAACTTTTAAAAAAATTTTCTTAGTAATTCTTAAAATTAAAATGTTTATATTTTGAGCTTTTATTGAATTTTCTAAAAATGATTATGGACAATTTAATAATTTAAAAACAATAAATCTCTATTTTTTTTATCAATAAAATCGTGTAAAAATATGGATGCCAAAAGTGAATCATGCCAGCTGTTTTATTGATGCTTCGTTATACACCATATGTTGGTGTGTGAATCTTTTATTAGTGAATTAGTACCAACAGATGTCTGTGTTACCCGGTTGTCTCCTCTTCACTTTGCCAAGACATGTACATTGTGCGGTATCATGTGTGATATTTAAAAATTAAATAAATAATTCTTTGAATTACATTTTGTCTGTAGCAATGCTGTTAAAAAAAACGTGAATTTGTAAAGATGGCTTTATTTGTAAATATTAGTGAATTTAGTTATAATTTTATAGTTCTTAACAGAGAATATGAGGACACATGTTATGGCAGATGCGTAGGCTTTATTTTGACGACCACCACCCGTCTTCCATGTGTTTTGCTATGATGTTGACGTCACCGAGTATGAGTTGTGTCAGTCCTACCCACCCAGCTCTTTATTGGGAAAATGTTGTTTGCGCTCCAACGCATTCTGTTTGAAAGAATGCTATTAGGTGACGCAATTTCTAGAGTTTCTTTAATAGATCATCAAGATTTAATTATCCCTAATTATAGGCAGGCAGGTTTCTTAGCAGAGAGAGAGAGAGTCTTTTGCTATATTATATATTTCTTAACATGTACCCCTTACACGAGACGTTATATAATTGTGTGTAAACAAATTAATATTTTTATTTTTGAGCAGGGTACCTTCTCACTTACTGTTCTGTAGGTTGCCGTTTCTTTATTCAAATGTAAATTTTTATAGAATTTTCATAGTATAATTAAATTAAGTATTGTTAGTTTCACTAGCTTTGATATATATATATATATATATCCTATAACATTTTTCTCATTCTTCAAAATTAACTAAGAAACTGTTGCGTCAAAAACAGATTTTTGAAATGAATTATTTAAGTTTTAATTTAAAAATTAGGTATACTTAGTTAGACTCTTTATTGCACATGTAGCATATCAATAACAACATTGGTTTACAAGTCATTTGGATAATAAGTTACAAAAATAATTAGGAATATTGGAAAATTGTTTCTTCAAATCACCGGCACATGAGAACAACCAATGTTCAGAGTCTGGCTGGCTACAGTACAAATAACAATCAGTATCTTGTTGAGGACTAAGGTGAATCTAAGTTTTGATCAAATCTAAAAATGAAAAAATTCAACTGAACTCAGAAAAAGATAATGTATCAGAATTATTATGGAACAAAATGAAAGATCGTTTTAAGATCTACAAAATTATGCTGTGAATTTTCAGCATGTTTGGAAGCAATGAATTTGTACTCTCTAAACAAACTTATTTTATCACATGGCCGTGTCACCTAATTAATGTTCACGAGTTGACAGCAAATAACTAAATACATTTTTAAAAAACCTTGTTAGAGAAAAAAAAACTTCAGACAAAAAATATAAAAAATATATAACAGAAGTTGTACAGTTAGATGTAACATATTAAAAAACAAAAAAATGTAAACATAAGTCAGTTTAAGAATACCAGCGGCAACATTTAAATTTAATTACATCAATTTGTACCAACCTGTTGGGTTTAACTGCGATTAAAATATACATTGAAGCAAACCATCAGAGCATTAACTCCCAACTTAATATTTTAGGCAGTTTAAGTTTCCCCAACAACAAATAAAAAAACACCAAAAAAAAAAACAAAACAAACCAAAGTCAAACGGGACAAGTGAAATATTTTCTAAACAGTGAAAGAGGGACAATGTTATCACCTGTTGTAGATGAAAAAAATTGTTATTAGTAACTTTCATCATCATCATGTCCCTTGGACCGTTGGGGCGCCACAGATGACATGAAAACTATCCTTCGCCATTCCTCTCCACTTCGCACAGCATCGCCTAGTTCTAGTCCCGTCCACTCTTTTAAGTTATCTTCCTCTTCTTTTCTCTCCTTTCGTTGTGCGCTGCATCATTTCTTTGGCGAGCCCTTGATTTCTTGACACGTGACCATGTATTAATGTATTAGGGGGGAAAAAATTAAGGTTAAGATTTTCTTTAACATAAAAAGTGCACTCCGCCCTTTAAAAAAAAAATTTTTTTTTTACAATACACAAAACAAAAAGTAACGAAACTGTACACATGCTAGTTACATGGTATGGCATATTAACACATAAATTCGTCAGTCAGTGACTGAATCTTATTGTTTCCATAAATGTAAGATATCTGCTATTAAAATTCATAGCCTGCACAAAGATTTTTTTATTATTTACAATCTTTCATCAACATGACATGCAACATCTGCATTTAAAAATTAATAACTTTGGGATACCTGAGCAATTGTCCACGACCAAAATATGCAAAACACCAAAGACTGCGACCAAAAGCGGTCATCCAATTCTACACGCACTTCAGTTTCTGTGCTTTTAAAGTCAATTCCATTACAAAAAATACATGGACAAACAATATTAACCAGCTTTCAAAACATTTGTCAGTGATACCTGTTCAGTAATTTGTTTCAATTAATTTTTAAAAAAAAAAAAAAATTAACTGAGTGAATGTAAAAACAATTTAAAAAAAAAAATAAATTCTGACATGAACACACATAGTTTAACATAATTTAGTTTAAAGATTCAGTGTAGTGAAAATATTTGAAGCATATGTCCCTAACTCAATGCAGGGTTGTTGAATGCAGATTTTAAGGTAATTATTCTGAACTTTTAATACTTTGATAAAAATTGAATGAACCAAAATAAATATAAAAAAAATAAAATAAACTGCTCTCTTTCATTGAGTTGTTTTCCATTTTACGCAAATAGTTTGATGACCTCCCAGAAAAAAAACAACAAAAAACAAAGTACATTAAAGTTACAAAAACCTATTGTTACATCCATCATCTGCTCTTAACATTATAGCTTTAATGATGGTATTTTGACCAATTTATTATTACATCCAAAAGTATTAAACAATATTTGAAGTATTAGTTTAGAATTGAAATAAACTATTTCATTTATAACATTTGCATCATAATAAGAAATTCTGTGTAAATCAATCACTGGCATTTAAAAAAAAAAATGTATTTGCAGAATTGATAAACAGGTCAGTAGCATGCATTAAGGTTGCATTTCTCTGGCAACAACTTTACCGGCAATGTTAGGTTTAACTCATACTTGTCCATTTAATTCATAAACCAAATTCATGAGATGTCAACCATAGTCGGGACTCTGTAGGGTCATGCAGTGGTACTGTTGGGACTCTGTGGGGTCATGCAGTGGTACTGTAGGGACTCTGTGGGGTCATGCAGTGGTACTGTCGGGACTCTGTGGGGTCATGCAGTGGTACTGTCGGGACTCTGTGGGGTCATGCAGTGGTACTGTCGGGACTCTGTGGGGTCATGCAGTGGTACTGGTTCAAGTTTGTCACTACACTGTGGTATTATTTAACTAGTACTAAAACAGAGTCACAACTCTGTGGGGGGTTATTCTGAGTAGTACTGGTACAACATAGTCACAACTCTGTGGGGGTCATGTTGAGTAGTACTGGTACAACATAGTCACAGCTCTGGCTGTCATTTAACTAGTACTGGTACAACATAGATAGTCACAACTATGTGGGGTCATGCTGAGTGGTACTGGTGTTTGTATTAATGAAGTACCTGGAAGCCAGCAGGATCTACATATATAATTAATAGAAATAACCCCTTAAACAATGGCGGCGGCCATGCATTAACTTCCCATCTATGAAAAGTTACTACAAAACATGCATTGAATTACCGGTAACACACTTTATAAGAATACCTTTTAGTGCTAACTTCTGGGAATTTTATTTTGCGCGCCTTTTGAACACAGCATTACAGCCATACAGACATACCTAGAGAATTATTATTTGTGGTAACACGCTGGCCAAGGATTGATAGTAGAGTTTGGAATTTTTTAAGATTTAGAGGTACAGTACCGGCACCTTACCAAATTAATTCCACTTAATATGTCTTGTTCTTCTATTGTATAGCAACACTGATGATGCTGAAGAGAACTGGCCTCAGCTGATATGCATTTCTAAGACATCCACAATGTTACAAGTAACACAACCACTTTAGCCTCTTCAGAGGGTAACATAATTTTTTTTTTTTGAAACAGAAATATAATCCGATCCAGTGTTTTTATACGATTCCGTTGGCACCCTTTGCCTTGCGGGCGTACACTTTCTCCCACTTGCGTAGATGGCAGGCAAAGAGGAATTGATACAGGTTCCTACACAGGCCCTCATTGAAAGGATTGTAGTCCTCATCGAGGTATTTCAGGTAAGTTATTCTCTCTCTAGATGCAGCCTCCCAGGTTGTGAGACCCTGGCAAAGAATGATTAGCGAAAAATCAATTAGTCTTTTTAAAATGCAGTTTGTGATAAAATATCTAACGTTGGCCTACAGTTGATCGTCTACTCCGTATCCATATTAAAGTCTAATGTCAGCCTACAATTCTTTCCTCAAATATATATATGTCCATATTGAAGGTGAACGTTACCTTAAACATAAGATAACTGTGAAATCCCAGAAGTCCTAACACGACCATTCCACCAATGAACAAGATGACAACATCAATGAACAAAATGGCATTGGTTTCTAGCCAGTCCGACCAGGACATTCGGAACTGAAACGCATTCCTGTGAGACGAGAGAAACAAAAAGTGTTGAGACGAGAGAAACAAAAAGTGTACACTGGGAAAAAACAACAAAGAATACTTATTGGCAACTTCTATCAATACTCTGATTTAATTTTCTGATGATTATTTTTGTGAATTTTCTGATTTTAGCTGCTCTAAGGGAAGTCAGCCATTTCGTTTGTTTTAAAATGAGATTTTTAACTCATTCCAGACGACAGCGCTACTTCCTTGCTTAATTTATATTCCCGAACAAAGAGAAATAACTCCCTTTTGCCATTGATTTACATTTGTAAAATATTTTTTTAAAGCTGCTAAATATTAATTAATTTTAATGAATTATGGTTAAATGCATCCAGAAATGAACAAGGTTTAATAAAATTATAACATTAATGGTGAACAAATAACAGGCAATGACCAAATAATTGATTTTTGTCACCTCGGATAAACTCATGCTAGATATAGACGCACTGGACTAAAGCACACATAGATGAAAGTGAAGATAAAAACTTCAAACACGAGTGTATCGAGATTACATTGCTATTTTAAAATAAAAGCGAGAGAGGTGTGTCTCTACTCGACAGGATGCATTTATTTTCAGTGAATCCATCTGTACCCTCAAGGATTTGCATTTAGTCGCAACTGTTGGAATGAGTTTAAAAATAAAAAGAACTTCTAGAACACGGCCCTGATAGATTTTAAACAAGAGTGAATCTTATTTCTAGTATCAGTGGAAAAATTTCATTGTTAACATCTTACCAGGTTATGTAGAAAGTGCTGGCGATAAGGGCAAAGGTGGACAGCAGAAAAAGCCAGAAAAATCTGTGGTTCCTCTCCCCGATACAAGCCTCCAGCCACGGGCAGTGGTGGTCAAACTTCCTGACACACTTGTTACAGTCCTCACAGTGCTTGGTTCTCATTGGTTGCTGGAACAAAGTGGAAGTCTGTGGTGTTTACATTTAGGGAAGCATGATAATGATAAACTGAGTGACAGACAGCCAGACTGACTGACTGACTGAATGACTTTAATTTGAAGATATTGTTAACCCATCTGATAAAACATTGTCCATTAATGTAAGGTCTTTTTTTAGCCCAGAAATTTTAGAATTATGTTAAAGGAAGTTGATAGATTTTAACCATATAGTTGACAGACATTAAACATTATACATTAAACATATATAAATATTAAACATATAGTTGATAGACATTAGACATATAGTTGATGGACTATCATTACTATCAACACCATTCAAGAAATTTGAACCACTTTCATATGAAAAGCCTCAGAAAAATCCTCAACGTCAAACGGCAGCACAGCGTCCTAGACACTATGGTAACGGCACAGGCAGGTACCCCCAGCATCTTTAACATTTTGATGTGAGAATGTCAGCGGCTTGCTGGGGGACAGAAGAAATGTTTTGAAGACACACTGAAAGCGTCTTTGGAAGCGTTTCACATTGACCCAGACACATGGGAACGGTCGGCAAAGGATGGAGAATCGTGGCCTTCCTCATTACACATACGCAACACGAAGCCAACAGAACAGCAGCTGCACAGCCAAACAGACATGCCAGAAAAGAAAGCCCTAGCTAACTCGGCACCTGGAGATGTCCGTCAATCCCCTGCCCTTATTGCACAAGAATATTTCCTGCCAGGTTGGGTCTCATCAGCCATCTACCCACACACACTTAAATTCAGAGCCAGCACGAATACGATGATTTAAATAGTCATGGTTGATTTTGATGGACAAACTATATATATATATTGATGGACATTAAACTTAAACATATATTTGATATTTTAAAACATATAGCTCACAGACTGTAAACATATAGTTGATATTTTAAAATATATAGTTCACAGACATTTAAACATATAGTTGATATTTTAAAACATATCGTTCATAGACATTAAACATGTATTTGATATTTTAAAACATATAGTTCATAGACATTGAACTAATGTAATTTTGGTTTGGAAGATATCTATTTTGTGTAGTCCATGGTGTTATTTTTCTTTCAATGGCCTAAAACTATGGTTTCTTTTCTTTAATAGTCCTTTAAACCAGACTCATTCATTTAAACTAAGAATTGTAAAGTAATAGGGAACAACAACCTATGATAACACACTATTATTTCACAGTAGTCAAACACACAGTACTTCATACCATCATTTCACAGTAGTTGCACACACTGTACTTCATACCATCATTTCACAGTAGTGACACACTCGGTACTTCATACCATTATTTCACAGTAGTCACACACTCGGTACTTCATCCCTGGTTTACATTCTGTTGACAGCATGTGGCCAACCTCTTCATTGCCGTCATCCACGTTGTCGTCATTGTTGTTCCGTGCTGCCTCGACGCTCTCATCGTTGATGTCAAAGTCATCATCACTGTTGACAGTCTGCTTCGTCTGCAGCTGAAGCTGTGCGAGGACAGATCATTTTCATTTGAAAAGAAGAAAGGGGGACATTGATTTCAGTTTTACTTTTCCATCTGATCAAATCTAACGCAATATGTCATAAAAATGAATCTCATAAGCAATATTCTGCCCATCTTGCGCGGTTCCACTACAATTTGGTCAACAGCGTGTACGAGAAATTTAGCTGCACTCTTTAAAATAAAATTTAACAAACTACCAACAATGTTCTAAAATCATAAATTTAAAGTGAAAAAGGGATTTTTTTCAATTCCATGTGTCCATATGTAATGAAATCTTGGCAAAGAAGTTTTACTAAAATTGTGGTTTCCACTCTTATTACCAGTTAAAACATTGCACGACATATTTTCTTTTTAGAAAAAATAATATTTTTTAAAAATGTGATCCACGATGTGCCGAGTGCAAGGAGGTGGAGCATTTAAAAACTTTTGGAATAAATTCCTGGGGACCGTGTGGAAACAAAAGCATTAAAACTGTTGAATAAATCATGATTTTTATACCTTTTTAAAAATATTAGTTATTCCCCATCAACCTGTATCTAAGTAAATTCAGGTGACAAGGCTGTCAGAGAAACTGACAAACAAGTGTAATACTGTGAGCTGTCGCTGACACCTACAGGTACCTCTGAAACCTACCACTGAAACCCACCACTGAAACATACGACTGAAACATACCACTGAAAACTTCTTCTGAAACCTACCTCTGAAACCTACCACTGAAACCTACTTCTGAAAACTACCACTGAAACCTCTTCTGAAACTTACCAGGCACTGAAACCTCTTCTGAAACCTACCACTGAAACCTACTTCTGAAACCTACCCCTGAAACCTACCACTGAAACCTACCTCTGAAACCTACCTCGGCAACCTACCACTGAAACCTACCTCTTAAACCTACCTCGGCAACCTACCACTGAAACCTGCCACTGAACCATACAACTGAAACATACCACTGAAACATACCACTGAAACCTTCTTCTGAAACCTACCTCTGAAACCTACCACTGAAACCTACCACTCAAACATACCACTGAAACCTATCACTGAAACCTACCATTGATGCTTTGTTATACTTGGTGACTGTGATGTATCCCGGGTTGGTGAAGCAGGTCAAGAAGTACATGGCAAGTGACCACAGCACCATGAGAATATAGATGACGCCCATAGCCACATGCTCTCCGTCGATCAGACTGTGGTGTAAAACTGTTAACAAAAATGAAATGTGCTTCAATACAATTTTTCTGGGAAGGTTTTAAACAAATAAGTACCAAAAAATACTATTACTATAGACAGGAACTCCTTACATTACAGTTGCATACAGAGTAACGTCCTTCATTATAATTAGTTAAATATATTTCCTAAAAAAGTTATTTCTGTTCTGTGATATTTTGTAATCTTCATGACCCAGTTTTTAATATCCCAAACTTCAACATCATTTAAGTAATTGATAATAACTATTTTTAAATGAACATAATTTCTGGTGTTATTCAACCACATGCGACAAGTTCAAAGCTTACTGGATTCCTTAAACAATAAGGTTGCTGGCACTCCGATGACAACAAATGTATGGAAGGTTCTGACAAACAAAGTCGCACCACATTTATATTTGCTGCATTGGCACATTTTTGTGTATCAACAGGTGACCGACAGCCGACAAAACTCACTACCTGAAAACAAAACAAAAATGAAAGTAAATTATAACCGCTCAGGTGTTTCACAGAACTGAACTCTTTACATTCCTCTTTACAATTTTTCATTTTTGAAATTAACATTTCCAGTGACCTTACAAAAGAATCAATTACTTTTACAATTGATATCGCCTGTCATGTCTACATTGCAAAGCGTGAAGCATTTGGTCGCAATAGTAGCGAATGGGTTAACAATTACATTACTTAATTTAAATATACAGTGCTTTTTTGTACCAAAAAAAAATGCAGATACTCACATCTTGTTAATATTTTAGGGATCAACAACCATAATGACTTAACGTTTTAGGAGTGGTGGGCATGATTTTTATAAATAATTTTATAACTAACTATTATGGGGGTGCCAAATGACAAATTTGCGACGATAGGGAAGGAGGAGTCCAAAATCGTCCTAAATAGCATGATGTTTTTTATGGTTGGTCCCGTTATTTAAAAAAAAAAATATTTTTTTTTGCCCCTGACACTATGATTAAAAACAGTTTAAAAAATATTTTTTATCGTAGGTCATTAAAATTTGCAGTTTGGCTTTGCTTCTCAAGATCAGTTTAGGATATATCAACAGGCGTTGTCATTTTCAGGAGTTATGTCGCTGTGTCTGTTTATATTCTGACCTTTTTATTAGCAGGACAAGTGGTTGAGAAGTAATTTGTATTTTTTTCCCCACTTTACCGATTTTTATTAACCATTCAAACGCAATGGTGTAGCTAGTGTTAGTGCCACCCGAGGCCTGACAAGCTTTTTGCTGCTACCCTTCCACGAAGCAGCTTGTATGCATCGTTTCCATAATTTTTACCTGACCTGCTACATGGACAGGACGATTAAAGCGTACATGGACCAAACATAAAATTGTCAAAAGTTAGTTGGAAAATCTTGAAAAAAGGTGCCAGTAAGCAGTTCGAGTGTGTTCTATGAAAAAAAAAGCCCTGACTATGTGTATAGAGTCCATGTCTTATGCATTCCCATAGTGGGAATAACAGAAAAAAAAAAGATACAAACTCAAATAGATTAAGCATGACTAATAAAGTACACATTAACAAGCTTATTCATTAAATGGAAAAAACAAAAAATTACTGACTTTTATTTTATCATATAATAAAAATAAATAATATATAGTCCTAAAGTATAAGCCAATATAATACAGTAACTGTGACGACTACCTAAGATCTTAGATTAAGGCTATACACCAGACTTAAATATATATCTGACTGAATCAATGTTAATCTATAATTTATAGTACCGGTAGTAGTAATAAATGGTTACTGAGCTTTATATCCCCCACCACCACCAAAATTATAAGCCTTAAATTATTGCTACATTATGATTAAGTACAATTAAATGGAATTTCTAGGGTAACACCTAAAGTACAATAATTTTCATTAATAATAATAGGGTAATTTTAACTGAATAAAATAATCAGTATGTCTACCAAAAGACATGATTGGAACAGTAAAATGAACAAAGAGAGATGCTAAAATATTATGAGACTTGAGTCTTGAGAGATTTCCAATGAACTATTTGTATTAGGCCTAGATGTATGATTATGATAGGCATAACCTAGGCAAATTGAAGTGAAGGTAAAAGTGAAGCTACTTAAAAAAAACTTTGTCTCAGTAACTGACCTGATTCTTCTTTTTTCTTTCTGACTCTTACTCTGAGTCTGACTAAGTCTTATAGTTTGATTTATTTTACATTATTCATTATTATTATACTTAGAGTGTTAAACTATTTAATTGAGTCTCTTTAGTAGACCTATATTTATATTGTTGGCATTCCTCAGAATGACGGTCCCAAATTAAAAATATAATACTATTCGTGAGAAAGTGTCCAGCTACCAGCCTAATAGCCGCCTATAATTGGTGACTTAAATGTATTCATTTTATCCGCCTCCACATTTCGTGACCCTAATTTTGCCCATAACTTTATTGTAAAATGAGGCAAAATATAATATTTACAGGGAACATAGTTAAATAATAGTACTTCTAAATAAAGCCACAAAATAGAAGTTATTTTTTGTTAATATTCCACAAATTTAAAAAAAAAAAAAATCTTGATTTTCCCCTTTTAAAAAAATGTATAAAATATGCTGACTCATCACTTATTTGAAATTTAATTAATTAATTTTGTTTTAATATATATTTTTTTTAATTTCCCTAAAATCATAATAATAATAATATTCTTTAGATATTAATTTCAAATTTTCTGTGGAATTGTTTGACATTTATAAGTATAAACTAATAATAAATGCGTATTTGTTTCATTTAGTTAAAATTTACGATTACACTTTTTATTTTACCATTTTCTATATATGTATTTTAGTCCCATATCTTATGAATGTCTGAATATGACCAAAAAATGCATTGATAGAATCAACTTTGGTGGTTGATACAAACTTAAATAAGTTCTAGTCATTTGCTTGAGGTAAGTATAAGTTTTTATGGTTGTTCTTTAGTAAATCTTAGGTAATTCTTAAATAATTGTGGCAGAAAGTGTGTTTTTTCTTTGAGAATACCAAGGATTATGTAATAAAACTCTTGTGAAATATTGTGATATGTGATTAAATATAGGATATTTCAATTTAAAAGGTAAATGACTATTATTTTTAAAATTTTTGCTTAATCTATGCATAAAGAATCATTATAATATTCATTATAATATTCATTAAAATATCATTACATATTTAACAAATAATGTGTCCCAAAAAAAAATGAGTTGGGGTGGGGCTAACCTATGCTTAAGATACTATATTTTCTAAGTCTGTAGGCCTATATATAAATATAATATAAACACATAACCTGTTATATTTAATATATTAATTATCATAATAATAAGGCTAATAATAATAAATTCAGTTTAACCTACTCCCCATGTCAATACCCCTCAATAAAAGCATCAAAACAAGTTAAAAATATATATTTATCTTGTTAAAATAGGTATCTGTGTTATTAAATTATTTTTTTTTTGTTTTTGAATGAGCCATTATGGAGTAAGAAGCTGGGTTTCCAGTGTAAATCAAGTTTTTTAATAAAAAAAAAAAAATCGTTATCGATAATAGGTCATTTTGGGACACACGTGACAAAAATTTGGTAGGCATTTTTTGACCATTGAACTGGGTCCTAACCCCTTGAATTTTTTATATGTTTTAATTTATGCTATTATCTACCGTTGTCTTTTCATTTAAGAAAGACACCCTTTCCAGAAAAAAAATATGAATGAGTAAAATAATCATTATATATAATTAACAAAAAAATCGTAAACGAGGCTCCCGATAAATTAAAAAGTGGAAGTCGCCATTTTGATAACGAAATCCCGATACCCGGTTTTAGGGATTTCCGGATCTCATCGAAGTGCCTAGCCTATATGAGTATATATGTATGATTATAAATTAGTCCAGTGAAGGTGTGAAGGGCGAGAGGTCCCCTATAAGTTTATAACTATAACATTGACAAATCGCAAAGTTCCTTAGCCCTAGCCCTATGCTATTGCTATACTAAATCGGAATACTACTATAGACTATTACAATACTATGCCTCCAGTCAGTTTAAACAACTAGATTAGTTACTATTACTAATTACTAGATTAGAATTATATTCAGTCCTAAATAATTATTAAGTCAAGTCTTAATCATAATCTTAATTAATTACCAATTTGACTTTACAATCACTTTGACAGTGAGTTAAGAATAAGTGAACTGAAAGTTTGATAATGTTAAATTTAAATGAATAATATGATTGAGGTGAAGAATGAGTAGAGTACCCATAAATCTAACCATTAATTATTTTCTATTTATTACTGACTATTGACTACTGATACTGAATGCTCGGTCTCAGTACTGCCGAGTGAGAGTTTGTGACTTACTTACTTAGGGCGCTACTTTGTAGGAAGTAGTAGAGTTAAGTGTCATTATTTCTTAACAGATAACCAATAACGTATATAATATAACATAAATAATAGCATCTTCATTAAAAAAAAAAGCTCAGTCGAAACCAGGATTTTAAAATCAACTACCAAAACTGATTAACATCGCAGCCATTTTTGTAAGAAAAATACGTGCAAATAGAGACCACTCCCGTTTTGTTTACTCCCACAATTTGCCCTACCGTTTTCTTCCCCTGCCAATTACGGTTCTTTGAACTTAAATTTTTGGTAAATTTAGACTATATATTTTCTTATTGTACACACCAAAGATCCCACAACTCCATTGAATTTTTAAATATTTAAAAAAAATTTATTTAGCTTTAGGTTTTCAAGGCTCTATTTAATCATGATTAAGTCTTTGAGAATTGCGTTAGGCGTAGGATCCGGATTACATACTACTGACAGTGAGGAGTGAGGTAAGAAGTTACGTAACTATTACTAACTTTACTAAATTTTAGACACCGACTTTCAATACCTTAATGAACGAATTGAAATTTTGGCTACAGCCTCCTACTAGTACTACTGATTCAGTTTGTTGTACTTCTGAATGTACCATGTAGTGTACTTTCATGCCATGGCCTTAAGTCTTTACGGTATATCCGTTGTGTGAATTTGGGGAACAACCCCCCCCCCCCTTTATTTTCCTACTCCCAACTTTTTTAATGACTAAAGAAGGGGGGGGAAAAATTCTTTTAAATTAAAAAAAAAAAAAACAAAAAACAAAACAAAAAAATTTCATGCCATGGCCTTAAGTCTTTACGGTATATCCGTTTTGTGAATTTGGGGAACAACCCCCCCCCCCCTTTATTTTACTACTCCCAACTTTTTTAATGACGAAAGCATGGGAGGGAATAATTCTTTTAAACTAAAAAAAAAAACAACAAAAAACCAAACAAACAAATGAACCCAGTCATTGTCTCCTAACCAAAAAAATCACTCCACTTGATTTATAGTACTTAGTACACATCAGACATGTTAGATTTAAGATGAGCAAATTATGATTTCATCGGACTAGGAGATTCAGATTAAAGGTGATAGGGGTGGTAGAACTTGACCCTAGTGTAAGTGTTGTATTGTTCATTCTTGATAGTTTGAATAATTTCATGCCACCCAAATATTAAAGCATCCATTAGTAAATCGGTTATAAAATAAGAGAACATCCATTGGCTAAATAGGATTAAAAATTTTGTGTGTGTGTGAGGAGCTTTGTGAAACATTAATTCACAAACTTGCACACAAGAAACCTAGGCCAGACCTTTCACGTATCCAGTGATCCTAGAAAACAAATCAATTTTTAAAAATAGCTTTTAATGGTCTCTTCATTTGACATTAGAAAAAGAAGGTGTGATTTCCTTCTCATAAAAACAAAATGAAAGAAAGCATTTAACAGACTGCAGATAAATGTTACATGTAACATAGTTCATGATGGCAATACCATTCAAGTAATCTGCTACCGACCAGTCTCTCACATATTCACCAAACAGCACATGTAATTACTGAAATGAAACGACAACCGTAGCATTAAACACATGCAGCCCCAAGATATAGATAAGAAATGCACTTTCTCCTCAAATTATTCAAATGGGGGTGGTGGTGTGTGAATAATAATTTGTTGAGCATTCACCAAATGTATCTTATAGACAAATGAATCTTTCATCATTATTTGCACATTTTCCCATAAATCATTGTGGTGAAGAATTTAAGCATTGATCAAATGTACGAGTTTTTTTTCCCACAGCAAATCTTCAAATTTAAAAAAAAAAAATTCAAAGAAGTGCTATGCAGTCTGTTCAAGCATAGTCGCAGCATTACACAGTATACATCAAGTTTACAATAATCTGAGAGTGGAAATGAGCCAAAATTAATACATGAATAAAGAATAGTTGGCTTTTTGCCACTCTCATTGAAAGGGAGAACAATAATTGAACATATATAGCATTGGCATTTTTAAACATATTCAATTCTTGAACAAACTATACTTTAAATAAAATGATTTATATTCTATGTATATTCAAGTGAGCAACCAAACGTATTTTTAGTGTTAAATTTTGTGTGTGGAAAAAAATTAGTTTTGCCTGATCAGTATAAAAATAGGCAATGGTTTGACTTGATGTACATTCAATCATAGGCAATGTGTAAACTACATTCAATCATAGGTAACAGTTTCTTCTTCATTCAATCTTCAGTAACAGGTACCGGTAATCTAAATTCAATCATAGGTTTACGTTGACCTGATCTGCATGGCACAGGCATCAAAATATTGTTGGTTACAAATAAACTTTGTCCCGGCCCAGGGAACAGTTATATTGGTGCCAGGCATGTCAAACAAAAAAAAATGTAGGTAAATCTAGCGTGCTCTGTAAGACGTGTAAAGCATTAAAAATGATATTAAATTTCTACCCCACGCAGCATTATCTTTCAAACACCTGACATAAATGTCTTGTATATTGTCTAACTTTGTTTTTATTTCATTGAAAATTTACAAATAAATATATACATTTTAATTAGAACTACGAGAGACCTTCATGGGGCTGTTCATTTGCATTGTGTTGAAATAAATATCTTAAACCTCAAAAACTTGTTACTTTATCATCAATCACCCAATAGTCACATTTGATCACAAAACCTCATCATTAAGTTTTATAAAGTTCTTTCACAAGTATCATTGACAATACTTTCACAAATTAAATTTTTTTTTTTAATGCGGAACATTATTGTTATTGTGTTTGCATTGGTTGTTGAAAATATCTCCCATCATTTGTTCACGATCTTACAAAGCCTGCATGTGGTCCCTTGAAAGGAGATGATCAGAGTATTACAATCAAATACTGATGTCACAATAACTCATCAACTGGGCACATTTTCATTGGAACTTCAATAACAATGAGTAAAAACATTGAAACAATATACAACTGATAGGTACAATTGAACAGTGTATAACTTATATTTTTATAGGATATTTTTTTTCTCTCTCACACTATAGATTGAATGGATTTATACCATGTTACTTTGGCAAGTGCATGGGTTACACATGACCATGTTACTTTGACAAGTGCATGGATTATTCATCACCATGTCCATGTTATTTTGACCAGTGCATGGATTACTCATCACCATGTCCATGTTACTTTGACCAGTGCATGGATTACTCATCACCATGTCCATGTTACTTTGACCAGTGCATGGATTACTCATCACCATGCTTTCAAGACTTAGATCAATACAAACATTTGAAATGAGCTCAGAATGAAGCTTCCTGTGATGGTACCCCATGTCATCCCATCATCCATTAAGTCACATTAGATGGGACTGCAACAGGGCAAACAAGTTACTTATTTTACTTGAGGTCAACTCATGCTAACACATTGGAATTGTTTCACTATATCCCCATTTTTGTTACATTATTACACAAAAACCACAGCTCTGATTGACTTTTGTCCAAAGTGCACTACAGCATCACCCTGCTTGTAAAGCCAACAGATAGAATGTATCCTTACAGCGCTCCACTGATAGAAGCTTTCCCTGTGACACAGAGAATAAATACTGAGATAATGCAAATCTTAAAGCTGAACCCACAAATTCAAATCATTTGACTCAACTGGTCTCCACAAGAACGAAACATTAAAATAAGATAACATAAATTAATGGACATTATATTATTAACCATGAGCATCACAACTCGTGCATTCTGGGAGGACCACATCTAGCATGGAGGGGAGGGGGGGGGGGTCCCTCTCTGTTGTATGAACACACAGTGGCAAGTGATGGTGGCATGCATGCATTGGTAGTGGAGATGTAGATTTCCACCGTGATCAAGAATGCTGCTTTTTTTTAAATGGATTAGCAAGCTGCAGGTGATTTCAACTAGTCAACTTCTATCTTCAAATGGTCTGGAGAACAAAGAGATGATGGTGGAAAGTCATTTCAATGGTCCTGAATTGGCCCCTTCTTGGATTCAATCATATGGATTTATTATCTCACATAACAAACAAATTTTTAAAAATGTGCATGCAACACTATCATGACCGCCATCAGACGGAAGTATGAGGAAGACATTAAACAAACCCCTTTCAACTCTCCCTCTGGTAACAGCATGTGTAGAAATGTACCACTCCACTCTAATTATTGAGAGGCACTGTTTTGTTTGCGATGATCAACCCAACATCTCAAAAATCGTCAAGCCCTACTAAAATTTTGTAACTTTAAAATTATTTTATCGGTATGAACTCCTTTTACCGAATGTGTAAATCTCATAATAATATTCATAATAATCTTTGCTGGCATTTCAAGTACAAGTATATAATAACTATAAGGAGAGATTGTGTAAATATTTACACAATTGTATTTACAACAGCAAAGATGCATCTTTCCTTTCCTTACCGGTAGATATCAGATTAACCGAAGAACTATTTGGAAAAATAAATTATTACATAAATCATAAATTACCCTTTTGAATTTATATATTTCATTAACTAGATCACAGCTCCTCTCCAAAAAAAAAAAAAAATAAAGTTGTCATATGCTACTTGTTCCCATTTGGGGTAGGCCTCTATGTTATAGGGTGGTTTTATGAGGCAGTCCCCCCTTGTTTAGACATGGGGTGGGTCTATGTTAATAGGCTTTCTTAATCATGGGGTGGTGGGTCTATGTAATAGGCTTTCTTAATCATGGGGTGGTGGGTCTATGTAAAAGGCCTTGTTTACACATAAGGAGCCTTAATGAGATAGACCCCCTTGTTAACATATGAAATGGGTTATGTGGTAGGCCTGTTTATCATGGGTTGGGTCTATGTGGTAGGCCCAGTTTACACATGCTTACAGGTCTTTTGGAGTATCTTTTCTTGTTCACATATGAAGGTCTGGTTGTTTTAAATGACTTCATACTTCATGAAAATAAATTTTGACTTAAGACTAACAAGATATCCAACATTGGAGAAATCAAATCCAATGAGATATGTTTACATTGCATACATATGGATAAGCCGAATGACCAATGAGCTGTTGGAATAATGTGATGGGGTGGTTTCCCCAAAGACTGATCTCAGAGAGTCAAATTTAGTACATTTTATTTCAAGGCTACAGCAGTGGAAAATAAGCATGCCAAAAGCCGAGTCAGCTTTGACTACAAACAGAGGTTATCTCACTTGCCAACCAGTCATGTCAATAAGAGCTGAACTGTGTTGACTTGGCCACAAAACTTGCACATTCTTGCACTGCCATCACCAGCAAACCGTGACAACTTACTGTTGCTATTTAAGTTAAGGTAACCACTTTTTTGAGTGAAGCTGTTAAATAATAAAAAAAACAACAACACAAAACCACCTCCCCCAAACCATAATTTACAGCAGGAAGCAACAAGGAACTCTAGTATCTAGTATTATGAACGAAAGGAAATAGAATAGATCAACTCTTGTACATTTTTTCTAAGAGCCAATGTTTTAACGTACATGCTTTCTATAAATGAATTTACTGCTCAAGAATGACATTTTTGATAAGTTTAAAGCAGTAAAAATTCATCCAGTAAATTCATCAATCAGATTTAAAAAAAAAATAGTTTAAAAAAAAAAAAACGATCATAAATTGAGTTGACACAAATATGTACATGATTGCTGTGATGTTAACATGACTAGGACAGACAGAAAGAAAAACTCAAAAGATTCTCAGCCTGCAACACTTGGTACAGGTAACTATACACAAAAGTCACCAGGTATAGAAACTGTACCACACAACAGGCTGATAATTTTTGTTAAGGCTCAGAAACTCAATGAAACATGGACGTAATTTTTCCGTAATGAGATTTTACTTAAGGACAGTGAAGCTGACAACATTTTTTATTTAAACTAATCCTTTGATGATATCAAATATATACGGAAAATTAATCATTAAAGTAACATTCCAATCCATTTTTCCCCCAAAATAACAACAAATGATGCATGGCATCAAACAAAGAAACGCTTGACATCAGAAGCTGGTGTCAGAGTTGAGTACCCTGATCTAGATCATGCAACATTATTTCCAACTTCGTTGACCTGACAATTTACCATGATAATGGGAAAATCAATGTTTAGATATCTTATAGGTAATAATGTATTCAACAAAGAAGTTGGAGAGACATGACAGATTTTTAAATACTTACTTACACTTACAGCCTATGGCTTTATACACAAAGAAATATAGATGTTGAGATGGTAGCTATTTGTTCAAAGCCTGAAACTTGTCGCACATTGCACCAAATAAATAAGAATCATTGCTATGATAAAACTATCATCACCGCCATGATAAAACTATCATCACCGCTATGATAAAACTATCATCACTTTCTTTTTTTGCCAAAAAAAAAAAAAAATAAATCCTCAGATGGACAATACATAAATACACTACTGACATTTGGTGTCAGTGATCATACAAATACAAAGGTTTACATACAAGCATGTACAATAAAACTGATTGCTGAATTGGCCAGGGTTCTGCTGTAAGTCACTTGCATTGCAAATTTTAACAGTTCCCCCCCACGGCTAAGTAAGGTGTTGCCATGGTCAAATGCCAGATATAGATATATACATAACCAGGTGATCGATGTCATTATAGACCTTTACAAAAAAAATTATTAAAAAATGCCTTATTTTCTCTCCTTTAATCTAATAATAATCACCACATGAAGTGGGCGCAGATCTAGAAGTAAGAACAAACCTAGAAGTAAGAACAAACCTATCAATCACCACAGACTGAACATTTGGAATAAAAGCACACAGTGATTGAACGGAAGAGAAAATTGAAGAACAAAATTATCTTCAGTTAAATGAGATTACTAACAGAAAATTCAAAAGAAGAAGAGAAAAAAAAAAAGAGACTCATCAAGAAGAACAATCTGCTCATTGTGTTATAAATAGAGAAAACAATCATTGTAGGCACCTTATATCTAAGACTAAGTCTGGATATTTGGCTTCAATATTCCCTCACAGCACTTATGACTAGAGTATAGGTCAAATCAGGAAAACAAAAAAAGAATCAATTTTGTTTATTTGCAGCAGGAACGATGTATCGGCAACGGTAAGGAAACATTTACATAAAAACAAGAAGCAGTTGAGCTGATGGGCGCAAAGAACTGTGTGATACCGTCAGCAGCGGTGGCTTTGATCATTTTAAAATTTAGTTAAAGGCTTGGTCATACTCATGGATTTTAAAAAAAAAAAAAATGCAGATTTTTGTTATTTCCACTTTCCTCATATTTCCTCAGCCCTTCAAAATTAAACAATTTAAATAACATAATCTCATATTGGAGTAACACATTTTTAATTTTAAAAAAAAAAAAAAAAATTTGGTATGAAAATCTGAATCTTTTGTTAAACTTGACAGGGGGGGGGGAGAACATGAAGTCACAGATTCAGCTATTGGTGAATAACAAAATCATGTTTACACTTTGTGGACATAGATTGGAGATGGCAAGAATGAAAAGAACGATGGACACTTTGTGGTACAGATGTCACTTGACAATAGAAGGAAAGACTAAAATTACAAACCAAAGAGGCAGAATACAAGTCTCTGTACACAAAAACACTAAACCTACACGAGACTGCACAGACCCATGTCAATCTCCAACACTATTTCTTTGATGTATCCAACAATTCAACTTCTAAATAAAAAGATATGGCAGAGGCCGTGTGACTTTAAAAATACAAATGCTGTTTCCTTACACAAGGTTCCATCAATTTTAATAAAAAGTTAACTTCTCACTTGTAAGCTGTAAGCCTACCCTGGACTAAGCCGTGCGCAGCCAGCCATAAATGATCAGCCACAAGAATAGGAATAAATCCAACAAAATAAATATGCATTTCTACGTGTTCAAACTGAAGACCTGATGGTCGTACAAATCCAATCAGTCAGCCGTTGAAGAGCCACAAATAGAGACCAAAAGGAAAATAGAGAATAAGATCTATATAAATAGTTTCTTTAAAATGCCTGATAAAAGATAAGGGAGTTTCACCGTCCCTCTGCACAACACAACCTTTAAGGTAAATGAGATAATTGACAGGTATAAATAAAGAAAGTCTTTTTCTTTAAAAAAAAATAATAGTTCAGCCGAACGTTGATAAAGATGTGGCGTGCTGAAATAAATATAAATGATCTTGTGACTCAACCAGTTGTTCCCTGGAACAGCTTGGAACAAAGCTTGAAGCCAGACCATACCAAAAGATTTGATTTTGCACTAATTGTTACACAGTGAGTAGGAAATTACAAATGGAATCTGCATTGAAATCTTTGTTTTTGTTTGAGTGTTTATTGTTATGGACATGTCTTTTATCAAGTATTTTTACACTAAGATGAATTCCAGGATTGAAATAATAAATGGATTTCAAGGATTCTTTAAAAAGCCAAAATGGGCAGATTTCCTTGTTAAGTTTTTTAAATTTTACACACAATTTTTGTTACAAGAAATTCATGTTATATAATCATAGTCAAGTAATCAAGGTAATCGGGCCAGTTTACGATGCACTATTTGAATAGTATTTGTGAAAAGATCTGCAACCCTCGGAAAGAGGCGCAGGAAAATCATTCATAACAAAATGTAAGATTTTCTTCTGTTGATAGATTTTTAAGACAACATAACGGAGTTAAAATTGCTGGTTGTGAACAACTGCCAAAACATTTTTAAAAAAATCACATACACAAAGAATTCTTGCATTAGCAGCTACCTCTGTATTACACCCATAATTTCCTTGTTGGTTACTTGTATGTCATCTAGCAGCTTGCCTCCTCCAGAAGGATTTGAGCTTGTGTACGTCTTCAGGTTCTGGCTATGGGCCTGCATCCTTGATAACAGTTCACGTACATGGAATTTAGCGTGCGGGGGAAGCGCATCTATAAAACGTGAGCATATGCTGTAGAATGCTAAAACCTCCTCCGAGAGGAGCATGAAATTGGTGCTGGACTTGTTGCCGGCCTCTGCCAGTTTGTCTATGCAAGATTTGAGCCGGTCGGAGGCAGACTTTATAGAGTCAATGTTAACAGGTTCCAGCGGTTCCAACTGACCACTGCCCCCATCTACGGGTGATGAGGCTGGTTGGTTGGGGTCAGAGTAGAAGCTGGCAGACATCGATGATGCAATGAACGGTGTCCCACCACTTACACTGTTGGGCAGTAGTTTAACCCCGGTAGTACGATAAGCTGGTGTCTCGCGAGAACCAGTTACGGAGTCTGTGGCAGCAGCCAAACACGCTTCAGCATTGACTAGGTCTAAGTTTGTTTCCCTAACAACAGTGGGCGGCTGCTTCGGATCTGAAGTGGAATTAAGATTCACCGATGGCTTGGCGTACATCTTAAATGAGCTAACATTGCTGGGGGCCCCGTTGAGCTGATTGGGGGGCTGTGAGTTTTCTTCAGATCGCGACTTAAGTCCAACCATCCACGCAGGTGGTCTGTAAGGTTCATTAAGGTTGTTGGAATCAAGAGCGATGTTGTTGGGAGGCACAGTGGCCAAAGGTGCTCTCGGATGGAGTTGCTGCTGCTCTTCAGCAAACTGGCGAGAGAAGCGAGGACTAGGCTTGGGTCTGCCGGAGGCGGGAAGATCAGGGAAGTGAGAAGCATGGTGGGGCGCCGAGTGAGGAGGGGCCGGCTGTGGAGGAGAGTGGTCGGTCAGACGAGAAAGTGGGTCGGTGTCCGAGCGTTGGACGGAGGAAGGGTGATGGTAGCTAGATGAGGTCGAAGTTACCATCTGATCTGAAGAAGTGAAAAGCTCTGAAGGGGTGCTTGGCTTGCTGGATGAAGACAAATCTGACTTGTGCCTTTGCAGCAGACCTGAATACTGAGACTTGACATTGGTGGAATTGATGCCCTGGTGCTGGTTGGTCACCTGGGAATCCCCTATACCGTGCTGAGATTGAGATTTCACAAACGCTGAGGGCCTTAAATTTGGCTCTTGTTTGATACCAGGATCAGAATCTTCACTCACACCTTCCACCCTTTTGTTAGGGGCACTTACATTACCCCCAACAACCTCACCCATATTATGATCCCCGCCCAGTGGTGGACAGGATGTTACGCTCGCACTGTCCGTCCCTGAATCGTGATCATCCATTGACGGCAACTCCCTTCCATGAGCTTCTTGTTCTCTCTCCATTGACTCCAAATAAGCACCAATTCTCACCCCTTTCGGTATAGTTCCGTACCTATTGATAGTTTTGGCCACATTGGTCACATCTAATTTCCCCAACCTAGGGGGGCCCTCCATCTCGGTCTCATCCACACTAACACTGTGAGCTAATTCTGTCGGTGCTGTGTGCTCAGAGAGTTTTTTCCTAGGCAGCAAGGCAGATCTCTGCGGGGGAAGTAAGGCCTTTTTTGGATATTGCCCAGAGGAGCTCCCATGTCCGGAATCTTGATTGTAGTCGGACCTGTCCCGGGGACCAAGACTTCTGGTGCTGCTTCGCTCTGGCGCATGTTTATCAAAAGTTCGAGCGTTGGCTTCAGAAATGAGATACTTGGACCTGTCGATTTGAGCTGCTTTCAGGTTGTCCACCGACGTTTTACTGGCTTTGTCTTCTCTAGCAAATGTTGGAGAGCCAGTCTGAGCTTGCGATTTCATCATGGAGGGGGCTGACGCACTGTGTGGATACTGTAGGCCTCTGTAGGAAGGATCCATCCCAAGATTGTTCTCTACAAATTCGGTCTCATTGACCTCGGCCAGGGAAGCATTCTCTAGCTTCACTTTCTGCATGCGAATTCGAGATTTAAGTTCCGAATCTAAATCTCCCCCTCCTAACTCTGGGCCACCTTCCTTCACTGATGTTGTTCTACGGGGTGGTAGAGGTGCCGATTTGCCAGGTTTTTTCCTGCTAGACTTCCTAGCCAAGACGTCACTGACTTTAGTTAGTGTGACATCTTGTTCATCAAGAGAGGGCAGCACACGTCGCCCTGCGGGTGGGGTCGGACCTGTTGTAAAAAAAAAGTTAATTGTCAGACCATTCCGAAAAATAGATAAATATAAAAATATGTTAGGGGAAATCCTGAACAGTGAGGAAACAAAACAACAGATGTTTCGGCTGAAAGCTGTCCAAAAAGACAACAGAGAATAAAAAAAAACATCTTGGTGGGAGCAGACCTGACCTGATATGAAATCATTTCTTAAGAAGCATCTATGAATTCAACATATTTTAGAGAAGCAGTTAAAAAAAGAGGAAATTATAACAATTATTCTCATATGAAAACCATAACATATGCCTTTGGAGATGACTCAGTATGCCTGCACTACTGCGACCAACCATTGCCACTTGGCTCATTTAACCGGATTGGTTGATTTAACCAATCACTGTGCCTGGGCTACTTCAACCAGTCATCGTACCCAGGCTATAACAAGCAGTGTCTGTACTTTGGATAATATAACCATTTGCTGTACCTGCGCTACTACGACCATCGCTCATAAAATCAGGGGACTCCTGACTGCGTCCTTTCTTGCTAGGCAAACTTGGGGCTTTCCTCTCAGTCTTCTCCAACTCTTTTTCCACTTCTGAAAGAAACCAATGCAAAGAGAAAAAAATACTCACATCATTTCAACTTCATTGTAGAATTTCAATCAACATGTTACGATGGTAAGTACCTGTTAAAATATTGAGGTATCCTAAAACTAAAAATGCCAAAAGAAATGTTAAAAAAATGTATTTATTATTTGACAGCTAAGAGAGGAACATGTCTTCGGATTAATCTATAATGCAGGGCATGACTTCATAGAAATATTTATAATCAAAGCTCACACCCCTCTATCATATAATTATTGTAATACCCTGTAAGGGTTGCTAGATACTTGATAATGATGACATGTTACACGATTTAACAAAAAATTTAATTAAAAAAAAAAGGATCTTAATTGAATCAAGTTAACAATTCTTCAATAACTATGTTAAGTATGAACAACCCACATGCCCATGTTAGCATGACTAAATCACTATGTTAGGTAGCTACCACCCGTATGCCCATGTCAGCCATTCCTAAATCCCTATGTTAGGTAGGGACAACCCACATGCCCATGCACAATTTTGGTTAGAGAAGCATTATCTTACATTAACTCTGGACATTTTGTTCGAACGGCTTCTTTGTTAGACCTTTCTACAACTAAAAGCAAACTTCAAATATAGATTTTCATAGAAATGTTACAAAAGTCTATAACAGCAGTTACTTCAACAATTAACAGAATGTCAAACTATTATATGTTACACAGAATTTATTGTCAGGTCACTATGTTTTTCTAATATCTCTAAGGAATGCATTTAGAAACTATCAAAAAAGCTATTATTTGTTATTTTCTATTCTACTTGTTGGCAGAATTGATTTGAAAAGATGAATACAGGATAAGATACAAGGCGTATAGAAGGTGTTAGTCATTTTGGCAGTTCTGTGTTTGTTAAACTAAATTCTTTCTATGTTTGTTACACCAAATTCTTTCTACGTTTGTTAAACTAAATTTTATGTGATGGAAACAAAAATGATATGGGATATGTGCTATATGTGTGCTGTTTGAGCCCCCCGAGCCAATAAGGCACCAGTCAAAGGACACATGACACTGAAACGGTAAAATGGTGACACAGAGGTCAGGCTTGTGGTGGTCAACAGTGAGCTGATGTGACCTCCAAGGCTGGGAGGGTCAAGGTAATCAAATCCATCTGGCCTACCTGTCCACCCTCCGAAGGAAGAGGTGCTGAAATTCTCACCTTCATTAATACTGGACTTTTCAAACATGTTTTCTAACAAAAAGTGGATTTCCTTGAAGGTCGGGCGATCTTTGGGTTCCCATTGCCAACCTAGGGTAAGAAAGACACGTGTCTTGGTCAAATGTCTTCACATGTGTTGGCACAATATCTGAGATGAATATTTCTGGATGTTATTTTGATTTCTGCATATGTAAGTTAAGTCCTCAATGTTAGGTAGATATCTTTATATATGTTGTTAAATATCTTGAAATTTTTTATTTGAATATGTTCATATATATATAATAGGTTGATATCTTTATATATGCTATTTCATCTTTAATGCGCTCTTCAAAACAGTCCTTACTGAGGTTTCCAAGTGTGGATGGACACAGAAAGAAGTCATACAGAGTGCACTCTTTTGAAGCTATAGCGCCTAAATTATGGAACAATTTGCCTCAATCTTTGAGGGAAATTAAAAATGATAAAAAATCATTTAAAAAACATTTAAAGACTTTTTTCTCTAAATAGATTTTATGACATCAGAGCGCTGTCAGCATGCTAAAACAGCACCCACACAAGCGCTGTAGGAGTAATCAATCACCATCATATTTCAATATCTTTAAATTTTAATATGTTCATATATTTTAGTTTTATGTCTTCAAAATTTGTAAACAAAAGCGGAACCCCCCCCCCCCCGAACCCCCCCAATATGCAACTATATATTTCCTGCAAAATATTTTGAAAGAGATGGTCAGTGCTTTCAACAGATTAGTTATACAATTTTATTTCTCATGGATTAAAAAAGTTTTGTAACTTAAAAATCCTCCTTTGAAAACAAATAATTCTACAATGACAGAATATTAATGAACTTTTTCCAACCTGCACGTTATTGAAAAATGATATTGTTACAAAAATAGCTAACGGCCGGGTTGCTTACATTTGAGCATGAGAGTATGGATCTCTGGGGGTGTTCCAGGTGGTCGCTCCATCCTGTAGCCTTTTTCAAGCAAGTGGTAGACCTCAGTCAAGTCCACACCAGGATAAGGCGACATGCCGAATGTGGCCAGCTCCCAAAGTAAGACGCCAAAAGCTGAAAAAGTTCACAGTTTTAAAAAAAATACTCTCACCGTCAACAAATTTATAGAAAATCAAAATGAAAAAAAATCTATCAAATGCTGGAATTAATAACCGGAGTCATCAGGAAGACTATTTATTAAAAAAAATTTGATAGCATGGACATGATTCAATACTTAAATCATAACTTGGACATGTTTAGTGGATGAACACGTATGTAGTGGGGGAGTCTAGATTGTGGTCTCAAGAGATACAGGACTGTAACCAATGTTACATAAAGATGGAATCCAATATTGAAAGTTTCATGGTTTTAACAAGTCTGTACAGTACTGCACAGGTGACCTGTCGATTGAAACTGAAGTAAAACACTGGACTGATCCTCTACTCCTGTGATGGCTATAGGTTCATTGACTAAAGTCCCCCAGATTTCATTTTATATTTGACATAACATATCAAATTCACTATTTTCATTGTTGTTCTCAAGCACAGAACTTTGTGCAAACCTTTTGGCGAAACCCCTACAGTTTTGAGGAAGTCAAAATGAGATTTTATTTTACCCCAAACATCGGACTTTGTTGAGAATCTGTTGTAGGCTAATCCTTCAGGCGCCGTCCATTTGATAGGAAACTTGGCCCCTGCGTGGGCAGTGTATGTGTCATCTTTCATGAGACGAGCAAGGCCAAAATCTGCCACTTTGACCAGATTGGCCTCTCCTACTAAACAGTTCCTCGCAGCCAAGTCCCTGTATGATACAAACAAATATAGTTGTCTGGCAAGAAAACAAAAAGTTTATTTGGCTTTTAGTATGGGACGTCTATAATAAAATAACCTATTGATGGGTCAATGTTATTATAATGTTCCTACTCTGCACTGTCCATAAATAGATCAAATAAATTGTTCTAAAATAATCTATCAGTTACAATATCTACAGACCTTCTAATTTTAAAATCAGCTTCTTTCTGGCAAGTGCAGAATGGCATTGACTAAATTGTCTCTAATAGTGTTAACTATGCACCACGAGAAGTCCCACCAATCCCCCGCACTTACTGCACAGGGACATTTCATGCCAGAATCGGTCTCATCGCACAGCCAACTTCACAATTAGCATGTACGATGATTAAAGTTATCACGGTACATTTTAGATTTTTAACTGACGAACAATACATATAAATATATATAATGGGCCGCTGCAGTTTTAGTTCCATGTACACCTATTAAGCCCCGACTTGCCTGTGGATAAAACTCCTGGCCTCCAGGTAAGCCATAGCTGAAGCAATCTGTGTGGCCATATACATCAGGACAGTGGGACCAATGTCCTCTTTGTTTGAGCCCCGTAGATAGTCCAGCAGATTCCCCTGGGCCATAAACTCTGTGACAATGTAGAATGGTGGCTCTCTGGTACACACACCTGCAATGCCATCAATTCAGAATCTTCTGTTTTTAAGCATTCACCGACGGTTGCTGATAAGAAATTTAACTGGCAATCAAAGACAAGGTGACGGTAATAACCCCTCAAGTTTTTCTCTTATTTCCTTGTTGCACACTTAAATTACAAATAACTACTCCAAGCATTACTGAAGGCAACAGCATTTTATTATTTTAAAATAGCAACATTGTACTGTGTAAAAATTAGATTCGATTGCATAAAAATCAAGGCATAGATTATAGATGCATGGGTAACCAATATGTCATCAGACAAGGGTTTGTTTTTGACTCTGTTAAGGGGATTATTCATAATATTTTTAAACATGCAATTTAAAAGAGGAATATTTTACAAATTTAAAAATAAGAACAAATGCATGTCATTTATTTAATGAAAAATACAACTATTGAGCATCACTTGCCTGAGACCCTGATGGCCCATTTTAACTCGTGAAATAAACCACCCCACCAAAACACTTCTCACAAAAAATTGTATAAAAATTTTATTTTAAAAAAAAAGTAGTTGAAGTTCAATAGATAAATCATATGTCTTCAAATCTTTAGTTCGGAATTTTAGAATGTGAAACCAGACTCATAAAGGTCATGCTGATACATACGTGAAGTTATTTTAGTATTCAGGTCTGGCCGTGGAGTGCTAAGCACCACATTAAAAAAGCAGCTACTAATCGATGGTGGCAGCGTGTGGCAGACCACCTGGTGTAAGCTGCATGTGAGGACGCATGGCTAGCAGATGGCCAACAAATGGCACAAGGTTAGCACACCAAACTTGTGGCTGGCTTAACTTATTTGTAACTAGAACAAAACCCTGTAAAACACCTGCTGTGCTGTACATGACCCAATACAAGCACTGAAACTGACCTAATAACTGCACCAAATTTGGATGTTTCATCTCCTTCATAATGGCAGCTTCTTCCAGAAAATCTTTGAGAGCCATTGTATCTTCCTTTAATGTTTTAACAGCAACCGTTTTATTGTAGCGCTTCCAAATAGCTTCATACACATCTCCATACTGACCACCACCTGAAATTTTTTTTAATATACCATTGAAACATTGCAAAAACTTCTCCCAGACGGATATTTTTTTGTTACATCAGGGAAAAATAAATGATACTGTTAATTGAAATGATAGTCCAAGATAAGACAAAAACTCATCATTTATGGAAACCCCCCGTATAATAATTTTTTTTAACATGAATGCTTTCTGAATTGAAATTTCCCTTTTATAAAAATAACAAAATTTGTCAGCTTTTTCTGAATCTCCAAATATTATATGAATAATAGGTCTGATGATTTCATTAAAAATTCTTTGTTTCAAATTCTGTAACAGTATTTTCAAAGCTACAACAAAAAAAATTTTTAAAACATGAGCATTGTCAAGTTAATGGCTCGCCAGGGAACTGAAAGCAACATCCATGTTGTTTAAGTGGGTTACCCCTCACCAGCTCATCATATAAATGACAGCAGCTATATTTACAAGTAATTCAATCAATGCTTCCGTGCCATGACAATACAACAACCAATGTCCTTGAACTGAACAACACTGACCAAGTCTATGTTTCATGGCTATTTCTGTCCGCTCTATCTCCCACTTGTCAGGTTCAGGGCTGACGCCAAACACGGTGGGTTTCTGTCTCTTTGGTGCAGGGTACAGCAATGTGGTGACAAGGCCGTCCGCGTGGATGGAATGGTGGTGGACCAGCTCTCCAAGGGTGTTGAAACGATGTTCTTGGGTGACAAAAACCTGGCAAGGAAACAAGGCAAAACAAAGTCAAATTGTGATTGAATGAAGTAACTAAGGGCCATCCAGCGATCATGGTTTTGTTCTGTCCTCATACAATTAGCACTTTACATAAGTTTGAAAAAGGTGTTAAAGTTATTTTTAACGATATTTTTTTTTACATCTATGACACTTTGGCTGGCCATCGCACCCATATCAGCTCCTTTATTACAAATTTTCTTCTCGTCTTATAGAAGTTGAGCTGCAGTGTGTAGGGGCATCTGATCAAAGGCTTACAAACGTCTACAAATGACAACATTTTAATATCATACATTTATAATTTCAAACCTGCATCAACTTATTACCTTGCCGTCAGAATCCTCACTAATTCTGTAATGGTAGACACGACCCTCATAACGCACAGAAATTGACCTTTGACCAGGACTGCTTTCACTCTCACGAACGAGAAAGCTTCCATTGATGCCAGAGCTGAGGAGGTACTCTGAGGCATTCCTAGAGATGGGTCCGTGGTACCAGGAAAACTTGTCCACACTGTTGACTGGACCAATGTAGTTACTGGGGACCCAACCCCCTTGACCAGCCCGGTTTTTGACCTCACACCACTCGCCACTGTTGTTGTAGGCTATCATAGTGACCATCTCGCCTGGAATCAAGTTGAAATTTTAACAAACAAAGTAATATATTCTACAAAATTTAATTATCAGACAGTCTACTTCTCAGAAGATATTTGTAAAAAGATAACAGAAAAATACAAAATCCGAAATAGTTTTTTTCTTTTTTCTACAGTCGTCAACTGATGCAAATGAAGAATACTGTCTGGATTTTTAAAAAAAAATACTAGTGTCTGTAATTATTTAACACTATAAATTGATGTGATAGGTGTCACCAATGTTATTTATACAATCAGTTTGTTTCTGCATACCCGGCAATAAGCACTGGAAATGACATGCAGACTAACAGCAGTTAGATTATGATATTTACAAATATATACATAACAAATTTCTTTACGGATGTCACAAGAATTAGCTTATTAGCTATGGACCTTAACCCTTTTACACGACAGACACACTTTGATAATCTAGTGAAACTCTTGAATATTTAAGTTGAGTTTTAAGGATAGTGAAAACAATGGTAGTATGTGGCAATGATCTATGAACACTCCCTGCTGTATACCATTTACCAATGCACCCATACCTAATGTATGTGGACCAGCTACAGTGACGATATAAGGAAGGAAAAAATGCCAAAAGGAGTAGAAAACAGAACCTATAACAAACAGTGAATGTCAGCTGACCAACTGTCTGTGTAATGATGTTCTTGTCATCAAATAAAAATGATTGATTTTCAACATTTTAAAAGCAACCAACCTTTGGATATGCTCAGCTGATTGTCTCCCCCAGCCTGGAAGTCGTACAGAGCCACAAACAGGCTGGGGTCTTCCTCTGCTGCCATGTTGAGCAAGTTCTCCTTGGACATCCATCTCTGGCCAAGATTGTCTAGCGGGGCGTCCGGGAGGGGCCGATGTTGCAGGAGGGCTTCTTTGAAGAGACATAAAAATGAATCCAAATCAACTTAAGCAGGAGAGAAAAGCCTCATCAATATGAAAAAAATGTTTTATCCCATGGGAGTGAACAGGTCACTTTACAACTGTACTTAACAACTGAGGTTAAGTACGACTAGTCTCTCATCAGCATTAGTTATGGTTTTCTGACTAATGATTGACATTTATACCTAGATTTACTCCCATAGATAAACTGAGGAAAAAAAAAAAACGTTTTTAACACTTCTTTTAAAATAATTTTCATATCTATATTTTATGGGTACATGTCATCAAAGGCCACTGAAATTCGGAGCACAGTGGATTATTCATAAATATAACTGAAAAGTCTGTGCTTGACACCTCGCGTGTCTTACGTGTCATTTCAGATAACACACCATTGATAAACTGATTTTATTATCTTTCCCTCAATGGGTATTTAAAGCATTTACTATATTGAAAAAAATTAGACTGAAGCTAGTTGCTCTGCTGGTAACCATTACAGGGCCAAGCACTGGCCAAATTTTTTCATTCTCAAGAAGGTTTTATTGGGTATATTAAAAATCATAACATAAATGACATAAAAGACCCCAATGGAACATTTCAAGACAGAGGTGCATAAACTATGCGAAGTTATTAAGATAATTATAGTTTTTCTATAAGAAGACATGATTACAAGGTTTAAACACCCTTTATCAATTTAAATATTTTTTTTCTTTATTATCAGAAAGCTCTTCTAGGTTATTTTTAAAATTTATTAATGGGTTTTGTTTAAACATAATATTGCGATCTATCAAATGTTAACCATCTAATACAAATAAGCATGTAGTCCTATTTATATTAATTTACATCAGTTAAAGTAAAATCTTTTAAGGGTAAGAAATTTTAACAAAACTGAGCCTATTGGGATAACAGTTACATTGTCTGCAATGCTATGTAGGCCTTAGTTTGAATGCAGTCCTCCATTTATTATCCTTAAACATGAAGACAATCAAGGTCTATGCAAAACATCCAATAAACCAAAGGAGGCCTCTCTGTGATTGGTTAAAGTGTTCAGTGGGCCAGCCATGTCTAAGAGGAGCCTGAGGCCCAGAGGTTGGTGATGATTGATTAGCTGGGACAGGCTGACATGACAAAAACGTGTCACCATCCCACTTATTCCTTCCTCAATGATCTTGGTCAAATCTTCTGAAAGGGATTTTTCCCCTTCTTCTTTCATGCCATCACATGACCGTGAGTGTGTTTTTAAGATTTATATCACACCTGGACAGTTGTAAAAATATTGTCACCCAATTTAACTAACCATTACAAAAACCCTAGCTAAAAAAGGAATCCATTTCTTAACAATTTTTTAACATACCTGTGTTCTAAACTTTACCCAAATGTATGACCCCAATGTATTCAGGGACATTTTGCTATTTTAAAAACTCCTTAAATATTAGGAGAGAAAAAAAAAATCGAATTTTTAAGATCTTTATTTGCAAGACAAGCAAGCTATTTATGGACGGTGCGATTTATTAATAGAGTCTCACTCTCTACCCAGGAACAATGTAATCCTATTATTAGTAGAATCTCACTCCCTACCCAGCATCAATGTCAACCTATTTAATTGATGACTCCTTATGTCGCTACATCTCTATTGCTATTGTACGGGTCAAGATGGTGAAATAGGAACATCCCCTTGACAGTGGTGATGGTAGGGCGGGCATCTCTCCTGGTGTAAATATAAAGCTGTTGCCAGAAAGAGTGACAACAATACCCACCCAATGGGCATGTAGAAATGCAGGCCACGCATATTAACTCTATATCACTTGAAATCACATGCCCCCAAAATTATGAATCCAATGCAGAGACAAAATTAACTTGCACATCTAGATTAACAGCTGTACAAAAGTAGTCCAATGATTAATTACTAAATAATTTGTGTGGCATATTCACAAGTGTTAATGAGAACCCACTTGTTTAAACAAGCCACAGAAAAAAACAACAAAAAAAAAACCAACAAAACAACATCAAAGACCCCCTTGTTTAAACAAGCAAAATAAAAAAAACACAACACATTAGCTTGATACCTTCTGCTTCTGGACTGCATTAAGCTATAACTGACTGGCCAAGAACAAATATGACTGACATACTGACCTAAAAACAGAAGTTGACCTAAAGACAACATCCAACCCTTTTAAAGGCTCTTTCAAATCCTGTATTGATCCCCAACAAGACAGTAAACCTGCTGACACATCTTCCAATATTAACCCAAAGACATGGCTGGGCAAAACAAAAGACAAAAATCCCTGGTCCTAGTTGACATTCCTGGCCCTCATCACATGACCAGACATCTTCAAATGCCCCCCCCCCCTTTCCCCCTGAGCCAAACAATCAAAGACAACAGCAAATTGATGGTGGGCATCATGTGGATACATTCTGTTACAGAACCTTGGTTTAAATGGGCCTCCAAAAAGTTGACATTCCTGGCCCTCATCACATGACCAGACATCTTCAAATGCCCCCCCCCCCCTTTCCACCTGAGCTAAACAATCAAAGACAACAGAGAATTGATGGTGGGCATCATGTGGATACATTCTGTTACAGTACCTTGGTTTAAATGGGCCTCCAAAAGACTTTTATCTTCCAAAAAAGACTGCTCACGTCTATAGGGGATCTGGGCTTTGCCTAGAATAAAGAGAGAAACATCCTAATATTTTGAATTACTTCCAGAATGTGCATGGATAACTGACTCAAAATGGGGGGGAAAAAAAAGGGATGCACCAAAAGGCAAAAGACCAAAACACAAAAGGAAAAGCCCAAACCATAAATACGTTTAATTCAAGCATGTCTGGAAAGTAATGGACTCCCATAGGAAATATGATAAAAACAAAGATATGGAGCAACTGGGTTAGACTGACATTGCCCACATCTACAGAAATGTGGAGCATCATTAAAATCAAGGATGTGGGAAATGTTATAACACCATCTGCTTCTGCCAGTGTCATCTACATGTTTAGTTAAGTGTTTCTTTCCTGTATTCATGCGCATCTTTCATAATAGTCACACACTTTTTAATTAGAATTTCTCTGTTCAATATGAGTTATACACAATACAATTTAAATAAGTTAGTCCCAGAAGTCTAAAGATAACAGAAAGAAGGGTTACTATATAATTTTTGGGGGATGTTTATGTGGTGGGTGGGAAAGAATGCAGAAGACTGGCTCAAGGACTGCACTAAATTTAAGTCTTTAATAAAATGTATAGCTTGATAAACTATTTACTGATTGTTTCAAACAATCCATCTACCATTACATACCCATCTTGTTTTCAAACAATCCATCCACCATTACATACCCATCTTGTTTTTAAACAATCCATCCACCATTACATACCTATCTTGTTTTTAAACAATCCATCTACCATTACATACCCATCTTGTTTTTAAACAATCCATCCACCATTACATACCCATCTTGTTTTTAAACAATCCATCTACCATTACATACCTATCTTGTTTTTAAACAATCCATCTACCATTACATACCCTACTTTAAAAAAAATAAAATCCATCGACCATTACATACCTATCTTGTTTTTAAACAATCCATCGACCATTACATACCCATCTTGTTTTCAAACAATCCATCCACCATTACATACCCATCTTGTTTTTAAACAATCCATCCACCATTACATACCCATCTTGTTTTTAAACAATCCATCCACCATTACATACCCATCTTGTTTTTAAACAATCCATCCACCATTACATACCCATCTTGTTTTTAAACAATCCATCGACCATTACATACCCATCTTGTTTTTAAACAATCCATCCACCATTACATACCCATCTTGTTTTTAAACAATCCATCCACCATTACATACCCATCTTGTTTTTAAACAATCCATCGACCATTACATACCTATCTTGTTTTTAAACAATCCATCGACCATTACATACCCATCTTGTTTTTAAACAATCCATCGACCATTACATACCCATCTTGTTTTTAAACAATCCATCGACCATTACATACCCATCTTGTTTTTAAACAATCCATCCACCATTACATACCCATCTTGTTTTTAAACAATCCATCTACCATTACATACCTATCTTGTTTTTAAACAATCCATCGACCATTACATACCCATCTTGTTTTTAAACAATCCATCCACCATTACATACCCATCTTGTTTTTAAACAATCCATCCACCATTACATACCCATCTTGTTTTTAAACAATCCATCGACCATTACATACC